CCCTAAATAACTGATGTCTTTTGTTTCCGTGCCGTAAGTTTGACTAGATTTGTAGAAAATACATGTAATATTTGTATTTCCAAATAAATTTATTATGAAAATAGATTCCGCGATCTATCTAATGATATTAATTTTATACCATAAATATTATTATTATTTTTATATATATTTAGTCAAAGTTGTTTCTTGAGAAGTGAAAACGACAGTTATTTAGGGACGGATGGAGTATATCATATTACTAACATCACAAGTAGGGGCGGAGCTTAGTTAGCCCCACCGGGCCCCCTCCCCCATTTGTTCAGTCAACCTCTGCCGTTGATCACAAGGGCTGGTTTAGTTTTTTTTCGTCTCGTAACATAATAACCATGAACATACAAACCACCAATGCATAGGTGAGTTGGGCCTCGTTAAGACCTTCATAACACGCTAGATAAGTTTAGGACCTGGAAATGGTATTTTTAGAGTTTTGGATCTATATGACACCTCAAGACAAGTCAAGAGACCCAAAAATACATTTTTGGAGATAAAAAAAATATAGAGAGAATTAGAAATATTTGTAACATCAAATAGGTATACTATGAAAATATAATTAATAAAAAATCTAATGATACTTATTTGTGTCACAAATATTATTATTATTTTATTATATAAATTTGATCAAATTTGAGATGCTTTGTCTTTTTAAGAAAATTGGAATGATCATAATTTGGGAGATACTTTTTTTGATTAAAAAAGGACATTGGAATTTAAGGTCCCGCTTTGGCAGGCTTCACTTCACTAGTGAAGTAATTTTTTTTGGCTTTGGGGAGCTGAAGCGGTTTTAGTAAACCGCTTAAAAAAATGGCTTCCCCGGAGAGCATATTTTTAGGGGCCTGAGGAGGAGCATACTTTTTTTTGATTCCACCCCAAAAAAGGACATACTGGTACTGATTAAAACCAGCTACTGATGAATTCTCAATCCATGGACCAACCAGTCTTTTATCAGGCCCTTTTTACAAAATGGCTTCAATTGGGCCCGTTAGAAGGCAGGTCGGCCTGCATCCGGTTTCTACATACCGCAGCAGGACGAGTGGACTCCCCTCAAAAAAAAAAAAAAAGCAGGACGAGTGGACGACTCCCTCCGACGACGCCAGGTCCGGCAACCATGGGCGCCGCGGCGGCCGACCTCGAGGCGCGTCAGCTCCGCATCCTCGGCCGTATTGCTGACCTCGAGCTCGCCGCGCAGCAGCACCGCCTCGGGGCGCTCTCCATCTCCACCGCGCCCTCGGAGAACGGTGAGGCCGACGCGGGGGCCACCGAGGCGAGGCTCTCGGCACTCCTGGCCGCGCGCGGCGTGCGTGACTTCGCCTTCCGTCGCGTTCCCGCCGACTACTACGACCGCTCCCTCGAGGAGCGCCGCGGCCTGCTCCGAGCCGACTCAGTCGCCCAGCTCTGCAAGAGCATCGTCATGGTATGGTTCGCCCCCTTTCCATTTCCTTGTGGCTGTTTCGTCGAGCACTGGGCCTGCCTAACTGCTAGGTTGAATACAATTACGTTAATGTAGTATTTTTATAGCCATTTTTGTGCGCATAGGATAGCTTGAATAGGATAATTTACTGATGATTGTTGCTATTGATTATTGAACAATGAATCGCGTACTCTCTGAAGGTTGCAAATAGTTGTGTTGAATTTGTTTGTATAAATAGTACCATGGGCGCAATTGCTATAGTTAGTTGGTGACTGAGTAAAGATCATGAGTTATGCTAATTGTTGTCATGGCATTATAACTTGGCAAGTAATTTGATTTAGCAGTACTGTGGTATCCTGTTGAAGATTCAAAATAAGTACATAGCTGCTGTTTCTCATGATTTCATTGCATGTAGGCTGATACATAGTAGAGTTTGTTGTTTTATATGCTACTATGTTATGAGCTATGACAAGTTGCAACAAAAACTGTTATGGCATTTCTAGCTTATATCAGAGATAATCAGCGCTAAGTTTATCAGAAGCAGTTTTTTTTCTCCGAAATAACTAGCATTGTCTATAACATGCTTATATTACCTGAGTCTATTTCCCTTGATTTTTGGTGCAAGTAGCTGTTTGCTAATTTGTTGATCAGATTTGATTGCTATAAGGCATGGATAAGAGATAGAGGCCATTATCTGCAAACACCTCAAAGTTTGTATTGAAAAACTTCCTACTTTGAATATTAAGGACAGACCAACATGCTTGTGTGCTTCATGAGATTCTTTTAGAATTTTCGCCTACTTAAAGTATTTGTGGAACCGGAACATTTTTTAATTGCATTGGGCTTATTTAAATTCTACAGTTCTTTGAGAATCAGAGATGCAATCTGAGAAGCAGTGGGGCATCACTGCTTATCAGCTTTAATGGAGTGGTTGAACACAAAACGAGTACTGTTTTATCTTGGGAAGGACATGCATTGATTTACTTAGCATTGAAGCATAGAACTACAGTTTTATGATCCTGCCTCAAAATCTTTTTTCTCGAACAACACAAGAGAGCTGCACGCCATTTCATTAAGAAGATTCTGCCTCAAAATCTGTTAATAATCTATCTTTAACATTAGTTGTGATGAATTCTGTCCATCTTTTATTAGGTGAACACCCAAACTGCTGCAGATGTTGTTGATTGCAGTAATCCAAAGAATTCAAAATACTATGTCGTTGTTGTTCAGGTAAGCTTTAAGATATGAATGTACCATTTAAAATTTATATACCTCGTATTTATACTGACGTAATGCATATTCCTGTAGTATAATGCACGGCTTAACGCTGAAAACATCAAGAACTTCCTGTATGAACTAAATGAGAAGCAAATACCCAAAAAGAGATTTAACAGTAAGATTCTTTTACAATGTATTTGAAGTTCCTTTTTTTTGGTGTGTGTGTGTGTGTGGGGGGGGGGGGGGGTGTTAAGCTGATATATGTACAATGATCCTCGGCTTTTTATCAGTGCACTCAGGTGGTGTATCTCTTTTTTATGGCTGACTGCTGCTAGGGCAAGCACTTTTTCTATGTGGATGATGGTCTCTAAGTAGAACTCTTTGGTTCATATATGAGGAATTCTTATAAACAGAAATTGTCATCATAAAAAAATGATGAATGCACTAAAATCATGTACAAATTGCAACGAGCTGATTACCGTGATATTCTTGATGGATTTAGAGTCTTAACATTGACGATGAAAAGATGTTGAATTTGCTACTAACACATTTCAGTAAAGTTTTAGCTTTTACAACTTCCACAATAGGCGTTGTGTGTCTCTATTCCTGGCCCTATTTCTTGTGCCCTTTACTTTATTGCTGTTGGTACTATGAGGAACTGACCTAAACCTGCCGCCGGGGAACAAGTAACTGGTTCACTACTGATTTCTGAAACATTAGTGCATGGCATATTTTGTAATAGGCACTGAAAGAAAATTCCTTGGCGGTAACTGTTTTCTTCATTATGCCATTGTAATTCTGCTTCTTCTTTTTCTATTTAAACATTTTCAGTGCCTACTAATGAGCAGTGGCTCTTACCATAGTTTAGGCAATTTGAATGGCTGCAGGCCTACTATTGCTGTCATCTGAAACCAGCCTTGCTGTTTACTTTTGTTTGATGCAGTGAGGTTGGCACCAGAAGAGGAGTCACACAAACTTACTGGGTTTGTGCATAACGCTGTCACTTGCATTGGGATGGAAACAAACATACCGGTAATGTAAATTTATATTTACATTGCAGCTATTGAAGCATGTACATTGCAAAGATACAGCTATTAGGTTTAGATTAAAATTGATATATTTATGTGTGACAAACTGTGTATGTTGCATATCCATGCATGACATTCTGTAGTAAACATCTCTTTAGCTTTTCCAATCCTACAGCTACTATCCTATTCCAATCCAATTACATAAGAGTAAATGAATGGTAGCAGTAGCTAATAGATAGATGGTCCTACTCCAGTTACATAAGAGTAAGTGATCCATAATATCAATAATAACCAATAACCAATAGTTAGAAGGCTTGAACACTCAGCTGTGAGTATGGAGAAAACATCTTTTCAAACCGATGCTTTCGGATATTCTTATGTAACTTGCTTAAAATGCACGGCTTATGCCTTATGAGTGAACTCACAAAGTTAGCAAGGTACCTGATGCAAAAAGTTTCCTCCACAGGTTATCATAGATGAAGCTATCACCAAATTGGATGAGGATTTCTTCTGGCTGGGTGGTGGAGAAGTTGACCTCAAACTCGGGATGCGAACCTCACAATTCTTAAGTGCCTTTAGTCCATTCGTGGTGAAATGCAGCTGATGATAGTCGTACAACCCAAGAGAAGCTTCTGATTCATTTATTTCTACCGAGCCTCCATCCACCCATCACATGAAGGTACACCACAATACAAGTAGGTTTTGCTTGGATCTGGGGTTTGGATGTCTGTCTTTTTTGGAACAGGCTATTCCTGCTCAGTTGCTCGCGACACATTATTTACAGCTGATTGTTGTTAAGATTGATGTGGTGGAGGGGACATTCTTGGGAAGATTGAGATATTTGCCACAACCAGGCATATAATAATACGCTTTGTAGTTTGTGCCTAAAATTAACAGTGGTTACTCGTTTGTTGTAGCAAAGAGTTACATGGTTCGGTCATGGTAATTTATCTGGAAGCTCTGCCTACACTAATTCTCCACTGTTATTTCATCACATCATGCATACTCTGTGCGCGACAATAGAGCAATCAAAAGGGCAACTACACTACATACGAAGGGAGATGAAATTAAAGAATTAGAGCTGTTGTGAACTTGAAATTCCCCTTCCATTGTTCTTATGAGCACGGAACAATGGAACATGATCCTCGGTCGTCGATCTTCCTATACAACAACACAAGATGTGCTGAGTTCAGGCAATTGACGAACTGCTAACAATGCTGTATATCAACGTTGACTAGGATATCCCAGCAGTTCTTCAAAATCCCCCTGTTGTTGTGGCTTGTCTGCCTGAAGATGCACCGCTGCTGCTACCTGTTGTGAACAGCCGGTGCCGGGTGCGCATCTAGGTAGTCCATGGCTACTAGGGTTTCGGCGGTGTACGTGGCGGTCGTGTTACTTCCTACTTGCTCGCTGTTGGAACCATCAGCTCCAAGCACCGACCGCTCTCCAATGCCTGACCTCACCTACATATATAAAGATAGAAAAGACTTTCCTATTTCACTTCCTTGCAAAATGCTGTGCAATGCCAGACGCATTTACATGCGGCATACCTTGATCGCTTCGATTGCTTTTCTCAACGAACCACGATAGGAATCACCTGCAGATCAGACAAATGTGTCTATGAATGAATGCTCAATGAATCAAAGGGTGCCTAGCTACAATAAGTTTGTGCACAAGCATCGCTGATGGGCAATCTAACAATACATGATGTATGGTTCGTTTTCATGTTTCATTCGAGGTATATATATTCAAATGTCTACGGGTAACAAGCATTAAGTCAACTTCATCACAAGGGTCGAGATCCTATCAAACATGCATAGACGCCATGGATGAACGTCGTCGTATGAGAAGAGAAGAAGTATTGAAAGGTAACTGCACGACTAGGGTCACACAGTGATACATGATATTCTCTCATCGGTTGTGATGTGGGGTGTGGGTTCTAGGTTGAGCGTAATCCAGATGGATTCCCTGATCACCCTCATGCCCATGGCGCTGAAGCTGTCGCAAAGCCCTAACGACATGCCTAGCATTTCTAACTACTCCACCTGATGATGTCACTTCCTTCTTCGCCTTCGCCACAATCGCTGCTTTGTTGACCATTGATGCATCCATTTTGCTTCCAACCGGAATCTCCGATGAAGATCTCATGTTCCCCTTGGCAGCACCACCATCTATCACACCCTATGGAACAGAGAGAAAATGAAAAGAAAATGATTTGAAATTAGAAGTAGAACTTGTTGGCCTAGATCGAATGATTTTAGTTAGAATGTGAATTGGCTTACCTTGGGTGGTGAGGAAATCAGCTTGCTTGAGCAGTGCTTATTACCATGAACACGGAGATCACGACGAGCTTCGCAATTGGTAACGTAGAGAGCGAGGATGAACACAACTAGGAGGTCGGTAGTGGTGATGCTGAGCTTTAGCCGCCCCTTGGGAGAGCTTACGCTAAACATGGAGTGCTGTGGTGGTTGCTAGCTTGTTGTGATCTCTTAGAAGACATGGATAGGTAAGGGACGAGAATGATGAAGCATCAGAGAGTGGCTATATGTGCTTTGTATCATCGTTCCGATGGGGGCTGAGTGGCTGACAGAAGAAGAATGAGGAGAAAGCAGGCTCCATAACTAGTAGATCAGTGTTTAACGATTCCATGCATTGGGTAAAATATATACAAGTACAGAATGTATTGGGAGTGGTTTTAGAATAAATAAAGGTACCGAGGTGTACGTACGTACTCCATAAGGTTCTTCTTCATGTCAAGTGGCCAAGACATGCACCTAGCCAAATCTTTAGCACTGTAGCATGCATCTGCAGCCTCTGTTCTCGCAGCTGGTTGGAATTATCTATACCTTAGTCGACCTTTACTTTGTGTTTCAAGTTTCAACGAACAGAGGTTTGTGATTAACCAGGGAAGTTGGGATTAGTGCATGGAAAGTAAGGTCCACACCATCCTTCCTAGCAACAAATTCAAGCCAGATATCTGGTCCAAAAAAAAATTTAAAGCAAGTGTATTTGATTTCACAGCACTGTATATCTGTCGTACGAACACTAGCTATAGGGCACGAGAAGCAGGGCAGAGCCATGTACTCAACCGCACATGGATGTCTCGATCCGTCGTCCCCGTTCTTGAGGCACGAGGTTCGGGGGCTGCGCATAGGCCCTGTTTGTTTGTCTTATACTTCGTATTTTTTAGCTTATTTTTTTAATTAGAACAGTGTTTTTTCTCTAATAACAAATCAGTCGGAACAGTAGTTTATTTTTTTTTCAGCGAAACGATGGGGGCCTTTGTGGGCGGCTCAGCTCGACCTCGATCATCTGTCCATGCGCGTCGTTGCCATTATGACATGCAGTGCGATCCAGTGTTTCGGCAAGCTTTGGAGCCGGTCCGTATCATCGAGCTGATTAACCAATCACGGTTTTATCGCCCCGGTGTGACCAAGTTGGCATTCTTAAGCTGGACTCGCCATCGGTCAAGTATTATTAGCCTGAACTCTGAAGCCTGAAAGCAAACGAAAGGGTGCAGGCAGCGGGAGTTAGCTTTGCACTCGCCATCGGTCCGGCCGGTTAGCTTGGCGAGGAAAAAATGGCACTGCCTGCGCAGTGGCGTGGCGTTGGAGAAAGTGCCGGGCAAACGAAAAGAAATGATCAAATGATGGACGGGCAGGGGCTGTCTAGATCGAGCGCGCCCGCATGCACCGCCGTCTCGGCCGCGCGCCCGCACCCGCTCGCCAGCCGTGCACATCATCCGTTCCCACGCACCAGCGCTGGCCGCTCGCCCGCTCCCTGTTGTCGTCTGGTACTCTGGTGCACCGTGCACGTACCACGATGGCTGCATCTGCATGGCTGTGTTAACAGCACTACAGCAGGGTAGGGTAGAGGAACCAATTATGTATTTATGTTGGTGCCGCTAAAATTTATGTTGGCTGTAGTTTGTTTGTGTATATACCATTTTAAACTCCCTTTGTGTGCCAAACATCTACGTTATGTCTTCTCATTGCCACTTCCGTTAGGTTCCGTTAAAGTGTTGACAAAAGTTGGTGTAGCACTTTTGTGAACAGTAATGAGAACACTTTTCGCTCATCGGCAGTGCTAGTGCCCGGATGTCCGGACGGACGCCCGTGCACTGCACTTCGTTTCACGCGCTCCACGCAGGGCCCATGCCGCTCGAGCCACAAGAGGGGAAGGGGAGGCGCCTCCGATTCGGAAAGATCCAGCCGCAGCGTCATATGGATGTCCTGCCGGCGCCGAGAGGAGGACACACCGAGACAATGCAGTAGAAGGCGAGGAAGAGAGATGCAATACTCGATCTGCTTTTGAAACATCCAAATACAATAGTTGCAACATACATCTGAAGACAGATAAAACACTTGAAACATATTTTAGAAACACTTGAAAAAAACACATGAAAACACTTGAAAACCATTGCAACCATACGCAGCATCCAGATGAAATACATGCAACGTACGTGCGAAACATATGCGACATCCAGATAAACACACTTGCAACATGCGTTCAGAAAACACAGATTAACCATTGGTAACAGACCTTTGCAACAGACATGTACAATCATTGCAGCATATGCAATATCCATCTGAAACACTTACAACATACCTCTAAAACATATGAAACACTCGAAACATATGCTTGCAACATGTGCTTTCAGCAAAACATGGTAGCCAGGCGGGCGGAGCACGGCACAGTAGGATCCTAGTTGTGAGGTCGCGATGGAGGAGGATGGCAGCGGATGGGCGGCTATGCGGCTGAAAGGATCAAGATTCCCAAGACGGGGGGTGAATTGGGCTAATTCTAAATTTTTTTGCAATAATTAAACCATACGGTTAGCCCAACTTCACCCCTTGTGCCTAGAAAGTGTTTCTAATGTTCTACCACACAAAAAGTCTTGCAACCTAAATTCTAATCCTACTCTAGCATAATAATTCTATAAATATAAAGACAAGAATTGAATTGCTCAAAGTAAATGCTCAAAGTAAAGAGAGAAGGAGAAATACGACGATGTTTTGTCGAGGTATCGGAGAGTCGCCACTCCCCACTAGTTCTCGTTGGAGCACCCGCACAAGGGTGTAGCTCCCCCTTGATCCGCGCAAGGATCAAGTGCTCTCTACGGGTTGATTCTTTGACACTCCGTCGCGGTGAATCACACATAACTGCTCACAACTTGAGTTGGGTCATCCACAAGCTCCGCCGGATGATCACCAAGCTTCCAATCACCACCAAGCCGTCTAGGTGATGGCGATCACCAAGAGTAACAAGCACGAACTCTCACTTGACCACGACAAGCCTAATGAGAAGGGTGGATGCACACTTTGTTACTCTTGCTTTCACTAATGAGGGCACTCTCTTGGATTTTCAAATCTCAATCACCTCACTAGGACTTTGCTCTTCTTGGCACTCTCAATGGTGTTTCTTAGCTATTGGAATGAGCAAAAGTACCCCCTCACACGAATGGAGGAAGTATTTATACACCCGTGTTCAAAATGAACCGTTATGTGCCTCTGCGGGGTGACTGGACGCTCCGGTCAAGTTGACCGGACGCTCTGGTTAGTTCACCCCGAAACCTAGTGTTTAAGTTGTGACCGGACGCTGGACAACGTCCGGTCAGCACTGACCGGACGAGTTCGGTCACGATTTGCCCTCTCTGGAACTTTACTGGAGTCGACCGGACGCTGGGACCCAGCGTCCTGTCACTCACCTCTCAGCGTCCGATCGCACCAGATGAATTCACCTTGATCAAATGAACTGACCGAACTCTGCGCCAGCGTCCGGTCACACTGGAACCAGCGTCCGGTCAGTATTTGACCCTCCATTCACTTCCAACTCGCAATCATATGTGAATGAAGTTTGCTCCAATTGATCTAAGGGCTTTTTAGAAGCTACCTAGTGCTAGATTTAACAAGTATGCACCACACCTAACCCACTAGACTCACCTAGGTCAAGCTACCTGTCCATACCCCCCTTAATAGTACGACCAAAGGAAAAACAAAGTCCTAAACTACTATAAGTGTCTCTTCAACTCCAATCGATACTTAGAACAAGTCCATCCTTAACCTTGTCGTCCATCCTTTGAAAATCAAAACGATTTTCATCGTAGGGGCATGACAACCATGATTGCCCAATCAATCTCTATTACCGTGATCTAACTTAATTGCCTCTGCAAAACACATGTTAGTCACAGTAATCATGCATTGTCATTAATCACCGAAACCCAACTAGAGGCCTAGATGCTTTCAGCGGCCTCGGTGAAAGGGCACACGTGACGCCCGCGGTGGAGGCGACAGTAGCAATCGGATGGTGCGACCATGTGTGGCGAGCACACCGTGGTGGTGCAGTCATGGGGGAGCACGCCGCAACAGTGGAGAAGCAGACTGGCAGGAGACGTGGTAGAGAGGGAGGCGTGTGGGAGCTTCGGTGGAGCCGGTCGCGGAGCGGATGTGTGATTTTTTTTAATCTGCGGTGACTAGAGGGGAGCGGATGGAGTGGATAGGAACGACAGCTTCTGGACGTTGGGTCCACTAACAGAGGCATCCGACGCAGACGGACGTCGCTCATTCCATGAACCCACTGGACCACATCTTATCATCCATAACTTCTATTGTTATGCTCCTAGTTGTTCAGCCTAATGATGGCTATGATTTTTCTCGCTGTGCTGTAGCCGATTGTTACAATTAGCTTTTTGCAACCACAACGGTCATTGCCATGAACCATGGTCACTGGAACTGACATATTGTAACACACCAGAGTCTCCAAAGTTCAAACGGCATCAACTCTACACGCCAAGTGAGTCATACACTACCACTAATAAACTTTAGTCATTGTTTCATGTACAAGAGTTAACATGGGATTGGTGGTATAGACTCTAGAACCCTTGTACGTTGGTCTATCTCACCTTCAACAACCACAGTGGTGCTAAACCCCACAATCTCATATCAACATACAACATAGTAACATACACTATGGGCAAATTCAAATTGGGTCAAATATCTCACACATTCTATTTTGTTGTCTCCCCTTCATCGACGTCACTGATGATGCAAAACTTTCTGACCATAGAACACGAGGAAAGAGCAACTTTATGACCTTAAATTTATGGCAAGAGACATGTTGAGATGGCAATAAGATAGAAGTGGAATGCAGATCCGAAGTGCTTTGATGATTTTTCATAAGCGTGCCAAGACAAAGTGTTCAGCTTGGATAGTTCTTTTACATGCATGTAATCCCTCTCATAGATGTTCCATGCAATTTTCTTATTCGGTTTTATTACTATTGTAAAATCCAATTAATATTTATTGAATTCTATGGTACTACGCCATCCGTCCAAAATATAAGGCATGCACATATATAGTTTAAAATCTATTTTGGTAGTGGTACATAGTCTCTTTACATTATTATTTTTCTATATTGGAATCTTTATTTATTTTATTAGATTTTCTATGTATTT